GGTTGGTTACTAAATATTGTGTCGATAAGAGGCATTTGAGATTCGGGCTATCGGTTTCTGATTATTAATCCCAGGCGGCGTGGTTTCTCCTCGTTCCGATCGCGTCATTTCCGTCCCCGGACCGCGTCGTCGCCGGGAATCGAGGAATTACGAAAGAGACGGCGCTTGGGCAATCGACTGTCGTTCCGAGCGATTGCCTACGTAGGTAAAAGGCACACGGCGATCTTGCCAAGGATCGTGGTCTTAGCCGAAGGTGGGCGAGCTAGCGACTAGACGTGTCACGGAGACGGCTTTGGTTGAGTCACGACGCGATGCCGCGACAATGGCGGGTCCGTCCCTGCAATTGGCCTCCCCGTTATCCGGACTTGTCCCCGGAGGTTCCGAGATATTCCGGTGTTATCCGCCGATCCCTCGTTCGGGCTACCCCGCGTTATCGGGCTCCGTTACTCCAGACGCGTGGACCGCGCGAACGCCGACGTCCAGTTTCCTGATTCTTGCTCGCGGAACTCGGAATTTTCCTACTCGTGTTCCTGTCGGCCGATCGAAAAATTCTTCAGATAAAATCTTTACCTTCGGACCGGATTGACTTGAAAAAAAATCGGCGTGACCCCTCGTCCAAGCTACCTCGCGTTATCGGGCTTCGTTACTCGGGCCGCGTGGACCGCGCAACGCCGACGTCCAGTTTCTCGATACCTACTCGCGAAGTTCGAAATTTCGCTATTCAGAATCTTGCCGGCTGATCGAAAAACTCTTCAGATGAAATCTTTACCTTTAGACCGGCCCAAGTCAGAAAAAAATTGACGAGACTCCTCGTGCGTGCTATCCCGCGCTGCCGGGCCGACATTGAAAAAGAAAAGTTTCGGAGCAGAGCGGGGCCCCCGAAGTAGCGAGGAGGGGTCGCTAATTCACGACGTCGCGGTTCACGGAGGAGTGCAGAAACGGATCGTCTGCGAGATCGTTAGCGTACCAGAGCTGGAGGTCGAGTTATCACCTCGCGCCCGGAGGTGATAATGACAGAGGAAAGGGGTAAATCGAGTTTCGGACGAATTCCGAGGGGTCGAAGAGTGACTCATCCACCTATCCGCCGTGATAAACTCCGCAATAGCGATTAGGAGCAATTTCTAGCCTAGCAAGACTTCGAGTAACGACCTGGCGCAATCGGCTCGGGGAATGCACCGCGACTCGTACGGGAGGTTCTAATGAGCAATACCGAGACGGTAGTCGTTCCTCGCGCGCGTCTCATTATCATCTGGGTTGAGCGATTGCACGAGTGGCATGGGAATCGACGTCGGAGTCCGCATAATCAGCCGTCAAATCGACCCGGATCGCAATAGGCGAGAATTTTCCCACCGCGAGTCGATTCCGCGGGGTCCGCGATCGATCGATATCGATCCCTCGATATCAGGAAAATCCGCTCGACTCTATCCTCCCAAGTGACCGGATCGTCATCGCCGTCTCGGAGATCGGTTCCTTGGCGAGGAATGCACCGGTGCATCGATGCATCGACCGTAGGATGACAAAAGTCACGAGCGAGGGAGGACCTCGACCTCGCGGGGGGTTCTCGTTTCCTTTGTCCTCCCCTTGTTGCCTCGCCTCTCCCCTCTCCCACGGACAATGGCAGCTCGGTTTTCGCACCCTGCTGCGGCGCCCTCCGTAAATCAAAGGTGCAGCCTCCGACTCTGGACCGCCGAAAGTTAAACGCATTCGAATGGATCCGGAACGCCCACTCGGGGCAGAAGTCCTTAGGTGGAAAATCCCGGAAGCGGTGTCGAAGCGTGTGAATCGCATTGTTATCATATATGAAACAAAAGGCAACCGGCAATCTCAAAGAAGGAAATTCTATTCCCTGATTAGACATTTATATACATATATTATGGAGGTATCTTACGTATTACATACGTAGCCAGTGGAGAGGTTCATCCTTAGCGGAGGAGTCGTGGGTGCGAGCAAGAAGGGGTACACCTGTTGCTCCGATTTTTCTCCGCGATCGCCGGAGGAGTCGAGGGGCAAAATGGGAATAATGAGAGAGGAGGGAGGGAGAAAAAGAGTGCCGGCACGTACCGCACTTAGGAACGCGGCTCTCTCGCGGTGCTCCGACCGCGGGGCAAAACTAAGGACGGAGATAGCGAAGATCGTTGGGCCGCGACGGGAGAGGAAGAGAGACCGAGGTATCCATCATCCGAGGTCATTTGAATACCTCGGGTACCGGGCTGAGAGAAAGAGAGAGAGAGATACCGAGGGATCGTAGAAGAAGAGGGTCCGGCCGGACCCCGGCGAGGAACCCGGAGGTGCCGAGAGAGACGGAGAGGGGAGGAGGAGGAGGAGGGACGGGGAGAGAGCGCCAAGAGGTGCGAGAGAGCTGCGAGAATGGACCAGAGAAGGTCCGAGGAGAAACCGGTTGCCGAAGAGGTAAACACGCGAAGGTGATGTACCCTACGTGCCTCTCTTCTCTCCTCGTCTCTCTCTCTCTCCCTCCTTCCCCCTTTTTTCCTCGCTCTCCGTCTCTCTCATCCAGGAGATCCGAAGTGGTCCAGGCGGAGGCTGACGTCCGCGAGGGCGACCTCGGGAGAAGAAAAATTCCCCCCCCCCCCGAGCTGCTTTCCCTAAAAAATCCCCCCCTCTATTTTTTAATAACAACCTGTCATATATCCACGATTATCTATCCTGTGTAGATATACGTCCTTCTCGGTGGTACTCGAGACCGCGAGCAATTGTCGCGGAGTAAGTCACGTAGCGGCGCTACCCGAGCTCTCGGGGGTGGGAAATAAATTATTTACCCCGGTATTATTCTCGACGAGTTCCGGGAACGGCCGAAGGGCAGATCGCTCGACTCGGCGTCTACGTCAGCGACGTCGGCGTACGGACGTGCGTCGCGGCGGCGCGTCGCCTTGAAAAGTGCAACCTACGACGTAATGGTCGCCGGTCGTTTGCGAGCGACGCAAATTGGATCAACGCCGGGAAACGGGAGGAATATCGGGGGGAGGGGGATCGATAAATAATTTATCATCGACGAATCGACGAATCGGACCCGGGGAACGTCGGAACGTTCCGCGGACCGGCAACCGGATGCCCTCGCGGATGCGCACTTTCTCTCCCTCTCTCCGTCTCCTCATATGCAGCGACCCCGAGGAGTCTCTCTCTCGGTGGAAATCGACCACCCTCGAAGAACGTGCTCGGAGCACGCTCTTAATCTCGAGAGCATCGAGAATCGTGTCGGGCCCGGGTCTCGGCCGCTCGCGGCTCTCTCGCCGCAAGAGCGGGGAGAGAGGGGAGAGGGGGGCCTGGGATACGAAATCGGGCCCGGAGTGGGGAGGGGGCCCGTAACGATTCTTAGATTTTTTTCGGGAGGGCCCTCACGAGCGGCGCCACTGTCCTCGGGACCGGTATTCTCTTCTGGGCAGTATTTCACCGGCGAGATGCGGCTCCGCCGGCGGACCGAGAGAGAGGGGCCGCGCCGCGGACCGCGGGGTGGGAGAGAGAGGCCCGATGGTGGCGGGCCCATAGGGCTCCGCCGACTCGTGTTCTCGCGGGGCCCGACAATAGGTGCGCGGCCCCGCCGAGGTGCGTGTCCCTGGGAATGCGTGTATGCACGCGCGAATCTATCACGCCGCGAGATCCCGCTAATCCCCCGACGACCGGGCCCGACCCTGCCGCGGTTGGGCCCGACGAGTTGCGGAGAGTCCAACGCCCGTCGCGGGCAGGGGCCTTTCGGTCACCTCTGGATGAGCGGGAATTTGGTAGGATTTTTTAAGGGCTCGGGATGACGTCTTTCGGGAGGGGCCCGGGCCCATGTGGCGCCTCTAGGGATAGGGCCCCGCGCGAGGGCGACGAGACGACGATGAACTTCCTACGGAGGAGTCCTTTCGGCGGAATTCGCACGGCCGTCCCGGGGCCCGTCGATGTAATACGAGTTAACGCCGCTGGCCGGGCCTCCCGCGGCGGTGGACCGGGCCGCACAATGGGCCCGGAATAGCCGAGCCACTCGATGGCCACAATGGGACCTGGGACCCTTTGGGACTCGCCGGGGCCTTCTGGAACCCTCCGGGCCCCGAGGGTCCCGGGCGGCGTGCCGGGGTCGGGCCCCGTCACGGGAATACACCGTCGGGCCCCGCCTGGAAGCACCTGCTAGGCCGAGAAGCCACCCCTCGAGTGGGCCCAGGGCGAAGGGGAGTCTCGCGCGCTTCGAGTGCCAATTTTTCACGGGCCTTGTATCTCCTCCCCTCCCCCGCCCGAGGCCCTCTCTCTTCCTCTCGGGCCCAAAAAAGCTCACCTACGTAACGCAAAATTTTTACCCGCGGAAAGACAATAACCACCCCACCTTCTTAATCATCCCATTCACTTAAATGGACACGAAACTCGTATCCGTAATTGTTCGGATACCTATTGGGCATCATCGACGTCCGATGTAAGGCCCGAAATTTGTTTCCTTTGTTATTCAAACCGCCGGCTGAATGCCGAGGTGCCGGCCCTCTCAGGGTTTGGGTCGCGTTACAAAACAATCGGCGAGACGGCAGGAGAGAAAGGCACCTGCTAGGGCGAAAAGCAACCCCTGGGGTGGGCCTCTTGGGGCCCGACGGACGGCAAATAGACATTCGACGAACCCATCTCTCGCGAGATTCCTCCATAAATCGATTTCCACCTCATAGCCTTTCTTAAATTCGCTTAGCGATTTCCTTCTCGCAAGTCCCCGATACCGATAACGAACGCATCGAGGTACCTACCCGCGCTACCCTTCTCTATCGCGCCCTACCTTACCGTCGCTGGTGCTGCGCACCTCCCCGGCGCGCCGGTACCCCCACTCCCGACTTACCTGTCCGGCGTCGGCGAAAGGAGTGGGGGGAGCGAGGCAGGGCGAGCGGGCCCAGGGGGCGCGGGGCACAGGTGGCGGCGGCGTCGGCGGCGGAGAAGGCGGGAGGCGCGGAAGGTGGAAAGGTAGGGGGTAGACCCAGCGTGGACCGCGCTGCATGGCCGGTCCGGAGACCCGCTCCGCAAGGTGAGACGCGCGGACCGCGACGCGAGTGGCCGATTCCGAGCGCGGGCCCCCTGGCCTGGTACCGATTCCGCCCGATACCGAGCGAGCGTCGTGGGGCCCACGGCGAGTGCGGAGGGCCCGCCCGATAGCCGAATTCCTAGGGCCCGGGACACGCAGGGAGTGCCAGGACGCGAGTAGAAGAGGCCCATGCACAGCCCGGCATGCGGCGCGGGGCCGACAAGGCGGGAAATCAGCCTCTAAAGGGCCCGACCGGGCCCGATCAGGCCCATCTTCGGGAGAACCCGAATTAACGCAAAGGACGTCGGTCCGAACCGAGTTTTCCCGGCGGTTCGACGTTAGGGCCCCGATCTGCGGGGTCCTATCCGTAAAGTAAAGTCTCGTCAGGCCCCGAAGTGTTTGGGCCAGTTGACGGACGTCCAGTCACCGGTACCCGTGTGCAGTGCCATCGTCGGCTAAGCTCTCGGATGAGGCCGCAGGGCGCGCTCCAGGACGCAGCGGGGCCCGACGACCGGTAAGTCCCAAACATCAGCTGTTAATCGAGACGAGGGAGTTTTTCAACTTTTTATCCGCCGCGGTGTTGACTCGAACGGGGTTTGGAGGACCCCTTGAAAGTCGGACCCCTCGGGCCGTAGGACCCATCGATCAGCGGGCCCTAATTACCCGACGAAAAGCCATTACACGTAACGCGTCCTGTATATACGGAGACGCGCGATAGGGAGAGTCGAATACGAGCTCGATCAATGTTTTGTTTACGAGTCGACTTGCTAGAGGTCCGATACGTAAACTTTGCCCTCGCCTTATGACTTTCGGAAATCCGGCCCAATCGGTCCGCGGACGGTCCCAAACATTGGGACAGTTCGTCGGGGCCTGGAGAATGGAACCAAATCCGGACCCCGAATCTCGTCGCGGTTGATAAGATCGAAATGTAGAGTGGGAAGGGAAGGGGGGCGGACTCCGACCGCTGTCGCTCAAAATCCCGTCGATCCCCGAGTCGGGGCCCGATCGCGCCGACCGGCCGATCTATAGATCCCAGACCCGGCGAGAGTGCTCTAAGTAGGCCACTCAGGCAAAGTAGAGTCTAGAGTCTAGCTGACACGCCTCGCGGGTTTCCTAACCACTTGCATTCCGGCTGCGCTTTCGTGTGCGTACTTGGCGCGCCGACTCTACCCCTTGGCACTTCCTCGAAGCATTCCTCGTACGGGCAAGCCTTGTTTTAATTACCCGTGCGACGCATTCGCGCTTCCACCTCATTCTCTCCGGATTGAGGGTGTCACTCTTGCGCGGACCCACGCGTCTACGCATCTTCCCTCCGCGCGTACTTGGCGCGTCGACTCTACCCCCGGGACGTTTCCGAGAGACGGGCCATCCTTTGATTATCCAACCGACTAGGCCCCATTTCCTTCTCTTTCTCCATCCAGACCTCGCTTATCACCCTTTTGATTTTTTTTACCCTTCGTAACTTTCCCCTGGAATTTTCCGGGACTTCTCAGATTTCCCCCGGACCTCTCCGGAGAGCGACTCGGGCCTCCTCTTCGAGGAGAATTACGCAAGGCTGGAATTTCTCGGCCCATCGGCCCCGGTCCGACTTTCTTGGCTCCGATAGTACGCGCGGAGACTCGAACGCCGGGGTAGGAACGCCGACGTGCGTCGGCGTCCCGACGCCCTTTCGGAAAACATCAACCCGAGAGCACGTGACATCTGCCGCGCGAGGGGGTGCCGGCTCCCGAGGGAGCACCCCGACGTCGACTCCGGGAAAATCGGGCCCGAAGGGCCCGCCGCCATCTTGCCATCCCCGCCCGAGTTAACGTCGCGTGGCCGATCTCGCGTTTCCCAGAAGACGCGGTGGACGCGCCGGACGTAATCCTCGTTTTATCCTCGCAAAGAATACGCAATAGGGTCGGCCGGTCTGCGTCTCTCGTCGTTCAACGACGACGACCGGCGGACGTCATCGACGAGTTTTCTTATCGAGCTCTCCTCGAGCGTGGAGTTTTATCTCCACACCTATCCTGGCTCCTCGCCAGGATGGAGCGATTCCGCGACCGCGATGCGCCGAGATTGCGTCGATTGCACTTCTTGTTTACTTCTACTCTCTGTGCCCCCTCCACCCTCGGTGTCCATTTTTCACACGATTGGATTCAACACTTTAAGGTGACATAAAAGGGTCACTCTATACACATCAAAGCGTGAAAGTATTTATCAAATTTTTCTCCAAGCTGGGTGTTAACACGTGATTATGGAGGCCCTAAGAAAAAAAAGAAACGTGATGCTCGTGAAATTTAATTTCTCGAAAAAAAAAATAAATCTTTTTTTCCTTCAATTTTGTCCAGACTAAAACCAAAATCACATTTCTTGTCGTTTTTGTGAAAAATGAAATTTCACGAGCTTCGCGTTCTTCCTTGGGGCCTCCATAATCACGTATTAACGTTTTAAATGATCCGGTGCACTTAGTTTGGAGGAAAGCATGAGAAATATTTTTACGTGTTAAATATATCTAGAATAACCTTTTTTTATATCGCGTTAAGCGTGATGTCACTCCCTGGGGACTGCCGCAGCGTCAAGAGTTTCACATGAAGTAAAAAAAATTGTTTTAATTACGTGTGAATTTAATTTATAATAAATATCAGTGGCATGAGATATTTAGGGTGGATTCGATTTTTTGGGCCTTACGGTGTACAGTTTTCGAGGTCTCGGGAAGATAACTTAAGTTGCGCGTCTCGCCATAGAAAGTGGTAACTTTTGTCGCCGGGGCCCTAAGTCCGTTGGAGGCGCTCTCTCTCTCTCTCTCCCTCTCTTTCTCCCTTTCTTTCTCTCTCTCTGTCGCGTTTACCGTTCCTTCGTGGAGAAGAGTCGGGGAACGAGAAGAGGCCCAGCCCAGGAGCGAGGAGGACGGACGAACAGGGAGGACTCGTTTCTCGTCCGCGTCGTTACACGGCGGAGTTAGCGACACGCGCGTCAAAAAGCGGGCCCCCGGCGAATACGCCTCGGGCCCCTGGGGGCCCGGTACCCGGAAGTGCCGAGGGCCCCGATTCGGCGGCCGGCCTCGCTGGAAATCGTCTTCCGGAACCGCTCTCCGTATCCCGGTCGGTCTTATCATCCACTCGACGGCGATCGCTGATTACCGCGATCGAGGCGTTAACCGGACGCTTTTCCGCACACGGCTTATCGCCGGTACTCGCGAACCGACGACGTAGAAAAATTAGAATTGCGATAATCGTAAACACTTCGGAACACCCTGGGGAGGCGGTCGCAGGAACCGGGGCAACGTGGTAAGGGTTACCTCGTCATTTCGTCAAGGTAACGCCAAGAAGTCGCTTCACCGTGCTTATCACAATTTCTTTGGAGAGACACCAAATCTTTTTCTGCATATATATATATATATGAATTCTTTTCAAATATATATATATATATATTTGAATTCTTTTCAAATGGGCAAAAAGGTGATAAGACCGCGGCCGCGTATCGATAGGAGCGAGAGAGGCGATTTACGACGTAGAGAGCACCCCCGACGACCTCTACTCGAGCGTGGCGCGAATATCCGTCGAGAAGGGGCCCAAATGAGCCGGGCAGACTCGGGGCCCGCCGGAGCCCCCTAAGGCCCGGGGCGCGTCGGCTCGGCCTTAGTTAGAGGGTATCGACGACCACGACCCGTTCCGGGGCCTCACCTGCTCTCCCGCGGATGAGAACACCTCGCGTTTGTTCCGGCCCACCGGTCTCCGGGGCCCATCTAGGCCCCGAACATGGGTCGGGAAGAAAAAAAAGGCCCAGATTTCTTCCCGCGGTTCTTTCCTCCCTCTTCGTATCCAGGACCTTCGGATGTTCGATTTTCCCGAGGAATCCGTATTTTCTTCACCGCGTCGATCTTCTCCCCCTCCGCGGGATGATCGCTCGCAATTTCGCGACGCTCGGCTTTCCGGGGCTTCCGCTGCGGATGGGAGATAGATGCGCCTGCGCGCGGGCGTTCTCGCGAGGGGGGGTACCGGCTGCACCTATAATAGTCGGCGATGGGTGCACGCTCGTGCATCTCCCGAGATGTCGGAGGTCCACGGCCGAGGGAAAGGCGAGGCGTGACGTCACGAGCGGGAACGAGGTTAGCCGGAGGAGCCGCGCCGGGAGAGCCGCAGCCGCCTCCCGGATATGCGAGCCGACGCGACCGCGACTCAGCGCGCTGCGGACCTCTGGACCGGCGACCTGGCTCGATTCCGAGCCCGATTTTCGGTTTATTCAGCTTTCCGCGTAACCGTATCATCCTTGCGAGGGGTTCATCCCGGGTTTCGGGGGCCTTGGGGCCCTAGGGCCCACGGATTCCGCGGACTCGCCGAGCCGGGCCTTTGTCTCGCCCAGCGGGCAACCTCCTCGACGCGGAGGAGTCCGAGTTCCCAGGCGGGCCTGCTCCCTATCTCCGCGAGATCTCTCCCGCGGTCCTCCGCTCCTGGCGTTGCGTCTCTCTCGCGCGTACGCTCGGCCGGCTAGCGGCGTCCTCCTCGCTCGCGCCGAGTCAAGCTCGTGCTGACCCCGGGGGCCCCGAGAGATCGCCGGCGCTCGTTTCTCTGGAACTCGAGCTCGCCTCGCCGGCTCTCGGGTTCCGATCTCTCGACCCGGGACCCGACTTTCGGCCGAGATATTTCTCGACCGGCCGGCAGGCCTGCGCGATATCATCGACGTCCGAATTTCACCCCCCTCGGGGGGAGGATTCACAAAAAATCATGGATTTAGGAAGTCACGTGGGAATCAGCTGTTTAACCCAAACAGGTATCCCCCGCTTGAAATCACCGAAAAGTTGCCCTGAATTTTGTTGGCTGACTTTTTGGATGACTTTGACATGTTGACCAATGACACGTGACTGGTGCAAGAGGTGAATATTTTTCACGCGAAAGTGAATTCCTATGAATTCGGGAATCGGATATCCGGGGTCGCGAAGAGTCCGGGATGGAAAATCGCGAACTCGGGGATGGGAGTGTACCGGGTTTTCCATCTCATCCGGTAGCCGACGAAAGGGAAACGCCGGAGCAGGAAGAGAGAGCCCGGGTGATCTCCTAGCTGACGACGTTGACGGAGATGCGCGCGCGCGAGTGCGAGTGCGCGCGCAGGGTGGGCGTCAAGGACTCGCGCAGCCGCCGCGGCGTCGTCGGGGAGCTGGACCGGTATGGCGGCCATATCTGGACAGCGCGTACACCGCGCGCAACGCGCGACGCACACTCGCGTCTTCCCGACGCCTTGTACCTACCCATACCTATGAAGGTCTCTATCCTACACGCGGCCGAGTGGCGTTTAAGGGGAACAGTCAAAGAGCGGGGCTCGAGGAAGGGACCGAGAGATGGGGCGAATAGGGAGAGCGAGAGAGACCCAGGGACGCTGCGAGCCGGCGGAGAGCGAGGGACGGAGAGATGCGACCGGCAACGAGAGCGAGGACGAGCGAGAGATGACAAGAGTAACGAGAGCGGGAGGGACGGAGCGATGCGGGCCCGCGTGAGAGAGAGGAGGACGGAGCGATGCGGGCCCGCGAGGGAGAGT